ATGGTGGTCTCTGCCCCGCTCACCGCCCTGGGGTTCGGGCTGGGCATCGCCATGGGGCTGGTGGGGGTGTGCGTCCTCGCCTTGCTGTGCCGGTGTCTTAGGAGGAAACAGGACAAGTTGGGCCTCCAGGGATCATTGAGAGACATGGTGTGGACTGTGCAGCCGGTGAGTGTGTGTATGTGGGAGAGTGCAGAGTGCTGGAGTGTGGACTCACACAGTCACACAGTGTCAGACTTATGTTTAGCTGTTTGTGGTAACACAGTCACTGTTAACCAACAGTGGTTCCTGCGGGAAACCCTGAGCTGTGAGCAACCACAGTCTGAGTGCCACAGGGCTCTGTCCTTGGTCCCCTCCTCTTCAATACCTATATGCACCCTTCTGTAGACATGGGGTCAACCTCCAAATGTATGCAGATGACACCCAACTCCACCTCTCTGCCTCCATCCTTAACTCCAGGACCCACTGCTGTCCTCACAAGACTGCTGGTCAGACATCAAGTCCTGGAGAGAGCATCACCCTTCATGGATGCACTCTACACCATATGGAGCCAATCTGGAAACCTTGGTGTCCTATTCAACCCTCAACTGTCCTTCATCCCCCATATCCATTCCGTGACCTGCTCTACCTTTCCAACTCCGCAATATTGTCCAGCTCCGCCACTGTCTCTCACCACAGGCCGCCGAGATCCTCATCCATGCATTCATTACATCCAGGCTGGACAACTCAAATTCCTTGCTTGTCGGCCTCCCCAACTCCTCCCTCCACAGGCTGCAGGTCAACCGGACCTCTGCAACCGTGTCCTGTCTCGCACCAGGCTCTGCGACTCTATCATGCCCATCCTCGCCCTGCTCGACAGGCTCCCCATCCTGCAGAGGGTACAGTTCAAGATCCTGGTGCTCACCTTCAAAGCCCTCACGGTGGCTGTGAGATTCCTATTAATCACTACAGGTCTCAGCAACTCACTGTGAGCAACACTGAGGAATTAATGTACTGAACACAAGTTATGTAACATGCATAAAGTGGGAGGGCAGTAGTAGCCCAAACCCCTGTTACTGTGTGCGTGTTTGTGCGTGTTTGTGGGACCGTGGGTGTATATGTGAAAGTCTCTCAGCTGAAAGAAATGAAGAGAGAGAGATGGAGTAGAGAGAGATGGAGAAACACAGAGAGATAGAGTTAGAGAGATAAATAATAATAACCCTTGCATGTGATAATAATAATAATAATAATCCTTGCATTTGATATAGCGCTTTTCACGTCGGGAGGACGTCCCAAAGCGCTTCACAGAACACACTGTAAAGTGAATTGACTGTATATTTGTGGGCGAACGCGCCTTATCACATCATTTTTCACGGAATACACTGTAAAGTGTAGTCACTGTGTAATTTTGTAGGCGAAACTCAGTAGCCAATTGCGCAGAGCAGTGTCCCACAAACAGCCATGGAGTGAATGATTATATTTTATTTGGGAGAGTGCTTTTGGTTGCTCAGCGCCCCGCTCACTCCCAGCTCAATTATCGGTAAATATTTATTTCCTCGGGTTCTCGGCCACAAACACGCAACAAACGTTCATGTCAGAACGATGGTTATTATTGTTATTATGATTATTATCACTGTTGTATTGTAACTCCATTCCACAATCCCTTTGCCTTGCTCCCTCTCTTCAAAGGCATGACTCAAGACCCTCCTTTCTTGAGTGTGCCTTCAGCCGCCCTCCCTCATCCTAACCCAGCCCTATCCCACCCCCCACCCCCGACGCTCAGGCCCTGATCCCTGACTGTTCAGCCCCTTGGGACGTCCTCCTGACATGAAAAGCTGTAATTACAGATGTAATTTTGTTGTTGTTGTTGTTATTGTTGTTATTATTATTATCAGCTCCCAGTCAAGAAGACGACAGAAGCTGTCCAGCCAAAGACACTGCTGACGTCTCCTGCAGGTTACACTCCCAAACCTGCAGGCACCTCAGCCCAACTCATCAACGTCACCAACTGCACACTGGGCACAGGGCAGGAGCCTCCGTCCTCCGGGCCGGGAGAGGCCGGGATGGGAGAGGCCGGGCCGGGAGAGGCCGGGATGGGAGAGGCCGGGGAGCCCAGCTTATTGATGGATGTGGCTGAAGACCTGATAGCTGTTCCCACCATCGGTAAGGATTGTGAGATCATGAGAGCACTACCTCCGGAACGCCGTTCGGACACCAATCCCCTTCCCACATTCCCTCAAGTCAGCCACAAGGGATCAGCATTCCAGGGAGAGCAGCGTCGGGTAACAACAATGAGAGTCCCTTATTGTGCCCCCCACCTTCCTGCCTGGCAGAGAGTCACGCCTGGCCTCAAAGCCCCCACCCCACACACACAGCACCCCCCCACCACCCCAACAATATAGGCTCTGATTCCTCTCAATCCCATGTTTCCACTCACACACACTCACTCACTCGCTCACTCACTCACTCACTCACTCAAACTCACCACACTCACTCACGCTCACTCACGCTTACACCCCACCCCAGGAGGAGGGACACTGTATACACTCACTCACACTAACTCAGCCCCACACTCACACACGCTCACTCTCTTGCTCACTCACTGACCCCTGGATGAAGAGCAGACTGGCTCCACTGCTCATATCCGGTGCAGACCAGGACCCAGCGGCTGTGACTGTGGGTGTGTGACTGGGCTTGGCTCTGGGCTGTACACACTGTGCTCTCCACGCCCTCAGCCTCTGCTCCCTGCCAGGGCTCGGTGCCCACACTGCCTCATGCCAACCACAGACACTCACAGGAAGAGATTCCCTCTATTCACCCCCCCAACACTACTCCACTCTAGGAGGAGGCACACAGTGACAGAGGTGGTGGGTGGAGGGGAGTGGTTGTGTGCTGGGAGTGGGGCTGTTCAGGATATTGGAATGGGGGTGAGAGGGGAGGCGAGAGCTGGGAGTGGCATGGTGGGGGGTTGCGGGGGGGAGCAATAAGAAAATAAGGAGCAATAAGAAAAGTGAAAGGGGAATTTAGAGGAGGTGGGTGGGGGATACCAGGGCTAAGTGGGGTGGGAGGTGGCGGATGTTGGAATGTAAGAGGGGAGGTTAAAGCTGAGAGTGGGAGGGGGTGATGGGGTTGCGGAGGGACGGTAGGAAGAGTGAGAGGGGATTTAGAAGGGGGTGGGTTGGGGGAGCGTGATGGGTGGGGGGTGTGGGGGAAGAAGGATGTTGGAATGAGGGTGAGAGGGGAGGGTAAGGCTGGGAATGGGAGGTTTGTGAGGAGTGGGTTGGGGTTTGCCTGTTGCCTGACTCTCCTCTTTGCTTTGTTGATGGCTCAGCCACTGCAGATGAGGTTTCCTTTGGGGACGAGGCGGAGTGGGAGGTGCCGGGGGGCTGGGGGCCCATGAAGCTACACTACGCCCTCAAGCACAGCTGCAGCAAGTCTGAGTTCCACGTGACAGTGATTGAAGGTGCGTCTCTACTCGGGGGAGAGATTAGAACCCAACCAACGCACAGTCTGGGCTCCCTGAAGCCTTGGCTCTTGCTAACCTTCGCCTAATACTTGTTGTCCCTCCAGGGAGAGAGAGAGAGAGAGAGAGAGAGAGAGCGCATTCCATTCATTTCCACTTTACAGTGTGTCCTGTGAAGCGCTTTGACATGTCTCGACAACATGAGAAGGCGTTATATAAAATACAAGCATAATCATTATTATTATCATTATTCCAATAAACATCTCTGGAATTTCCATGTGTAAATGGGATGCATTGAAATCTCAGTTTGGTTTGGATGCTCTTAAGCAACAGTAATGGGTTTCGGTATGTGTCAGGCACCCAGTTGGCCAAAACAAATCTATCCATTTAACATTAATTATGGGGTGGGGGGGGGGGCAGGGAGGAGGGGAATTCATAAACTCACACTCTATCCCGTGGGTACGGCTGACTTCTATGGACGATATTAATACCCTGGGGTGGGCGGGGGGGGAATCTTTGAGTGCACTTAGGAGTCACGTTATAACCAGCTAAAACCACACAACTTGCCCGTTGTGAACCACCATAGGAACAGGAGTAGGTCATTCAGCCCCTTGAGCCTGTTCCGTTATTCTATAAGATCATGGCTGATCTGTCCCTGAACTCCAATTAACATATCCTCTGGCCCCTGACCTAACAAAATTCTCTCTAACTAACACTGAGGGGATCCTCTTTCTCCCCCCAGCCGCCCACATACAGGCCGTGGAGGGCGCGGGCCCCGGCAACTGCTATGTGGTGGGGACGCTGGTGACCGAGCTGGGCAGGGCTGAGGCCAAGACGTCTGTGCAGGCCGGGAGGCGGGGGCCGGTGTGGGAGGAGACGTTGGTATTCCCACTGTCGGAGCAGCACGTGAGGAGCGGGAGCCTGCAGCTGGCCCTATACGGCTGCGATCGCTATTCCAGGCGGCACTGTGTAGGCACGGCCGAGGTCAGCCTACGGCGCATGGCACTGATGGTGAGGACGGACACCTGGCATTGCCTGAAGCCCCCTGAACAGGTAACCTGGAGGCCCCGGACCCCCGCAGGGGATTTCGCCTTCTCCTTCTCAGCCACATGCAGTGTCTAATGTGGAATCCTGTATCTTAGTGGTTAGAGCGCTCGCCTCGCAAGAGAGAGGATCTGGGTTTGATCCCCAGGCACTCAGTGATTGAGAGAGAGAGAGAGAGCGAGTGAGTGAGCGAGTGGGAGAGAGCGAGAGAGCGAGTGAGAGAGCGATGGAGCGAGTGAGTGAGTGCGAGTGAGAAAGCGATTGAGAGTGAGAGAGTGAGCGATCGAGTGAGTGAATGAGTGAGTGAGCGAGCGAGAGAGTAATTGAGCGAGTGAGTGACGCTGTGCTGTTGGTGGTGTCTGTTCCCAGAGCTCACCCGCCTCCTGTGCCGAGGTCCTGCTCTCCATCAGTTACCTGCCGGCAGCTAACCGGCTCATCGTGGTCGTCCTGAAGTGCCGGCACGTGAACCCCGGCACCAGCGCAGCACAGCCCATCGGTAACGCAACCCGACCCTCGCCGCCCCTGGGGGACGTTTAACGCTTTATTTATCTGAAACATCAGTGACTGAGCCGGGGCGGCGGGGGGCGGGGGGCAGAGGTCGAAGAGGAAGGTCTTCCGGTGCGATGTGAAGATGGGGAAAGGAAGAGGCAAGGTGGAGGGATGGAAGCGGAGAGTTTCGGGGCGCAGTGGCTGAAGGCACGGCCACCGATGGTGGAACAAAGGGCACGAGGGGCAAGCCGGAGGCCGAGCGGAGGCAGCGGGTAGTGGGTTGGGGAGTAAGCAGGTCGGAGAAGAGGGGAGGGGAGGTGTCGGCCACCGCACGGGCTGCGTGTAAATGTCATTGTTGTTGTTGTTGTGTGGCTTGCACAATTGGTCATTTTCAATCTACGACTGTTTGTGGGACATTGCTGTGCGCAATTGGCTGCCGCGTTCGCCCACAAATATACAGTCACTTCACTTTACAGTGTGTTCTGTGAAGCGCTTTGGGACGTCCTCCCGACGTGAAAAGCGCTATATCAAATGCAAGGATTATTATTATTATTATTATTATTATTATTGCAGACGTGTGGGTGAACCTGACGCTGACCCACGGAGGCTGCAGACTGCGGAGGAAGAGGACCAGGCGTGTGCGGCAGGGGCTGAGGCCGGTGTGGAACGAGCTGTTGGTGTTGGCGTTGCCCGGGGAGGCGCTGGCACACTGCGCGCTGGGCCTCGAGCTGCTGAGCCAGGACAGCACCGGCCAACGCCTGTCCCTGGGTCACTGCTGCCTGAGCCTGGCCTCCAGCGGCTCCCACCGCACTCACTGGCAGGACATCCTCAACAGCCCCAGGAGGCAGGTCGCCATGTGGCATAAACTGCCCCCCTGACCCCTGCAACCCCTGCCCTCCCCCTCGCTCTCCCCCTGCCCCTCACTGTACCCCCTCCCTCTCACTGTACCCCCTCCCTCTCACTGTACCCTCTTCTCCTCACTGTACCCCCTACCCCTCACTGTACCCCCCCCACCCCCTGGCCCCTCACTGTGAATGCTGGGCTTCAGGCTCCCGCAAACCTCACAAAGACCAGTGACTGTCCAGACATCGCAAATAAACAGCTTCAAATAAACCCAATCAGCGCTCCGTCACATATACCCACACACACCCCATACCCCCACACACACACTCACACCCCATACCCACCCCCCCCCCCCACACACACACACCCATACCCACCCCCCCCCACACACCCCATACCCACACCCCCCCCACACACACACACACCCCATACCCACCCCCCCACACACACACACCCCATACCTACACCACCCCACACACCCTCACACACATACCCACACCCCCCCACACACACACTCACACACACACCCCATACCCACCCCCCCCCCACACACACTCACACACACCCCATACCCCACGCACACACTCACACACACCCCATACCACCCCCCCACACACTCACACACACACCCCATACCCACCCCCCGACACACACTCACACACACACCCCATACCCACACCCCCCCCACACACACACACTCACACACACACCCCATACCCCCCCCCACACACACACTCACACGCACACCCCATACCCCCCCACACACACACTCACACACACACCCCATACACTCACACACACACCCCATACTCCCCCCACACACACACTCACACACCCACCCCATACCCACCCACCCCCACACACACTCACACACACACCCCATACCCCCCCCACACACACTCACCCCATACACTCACACACACCCCATACCCCCCCACCACACACACTCACACACACCCCATACCCCCCACACACTCACACACCCCATACCCCCCCACCCACACACACCATAGCCCCACACACACACTCACCCACACACACCCCATACCCCTCATATACACTCACCCACACACATACACACACACTGACACACACACATCCCCATATATGCACTCACCCACACACACCCCATACCCGCACTAAACACACACACCCCATACCCCACCACCCACCACACACACACACACACACAGATACGCTCACCCACACACATTCACGCACACATACACACAGTGAGACACACTGACCGACACATACACTGACACACACACTGATACACACCGATACACATGAAAATTCATTCAATTGATTTGAGCAAATCGACTCATTTGCGTTGTTTGGAGATCAGCAACAGTGTCCTGGCAGGGCTGTGGCGGGGGGCTATGCTGGGTTTGGGGGCGGGGGGTGCTGGGGGCTATGCTAGGGGCTATGCTGAGGTTGGGGGCGGGGGTGCTGGGGGCTATGCTGGGGTTGGGGGTGGGGGTGCTGGGGCTATGCTGGGGTTGGGGGCGGGGGTGCTAGGGGCTATGCTGGGGTTGGGGGCGGGGGTGCTGGGGGCTATGCTGGGGTTAGGGGTGGGGGTGCTGGGGCTATGCTGGGGTTGGGGGCGGGGGGTGCTGGGGGCTATGCTGGGGTTGGGGGTGGGGGGTGCTGGGGGTCTATGCTGGGGTTGGGGGTGGGGGGTGCTGGGGGCTATGCTGGGGTTGGGGGTGGGGTGCTGGGGCTATGCTGGGGTTGGGGGTGGGGGGTGCTGGGGTTGGGGGCGGGGGGCTGAGCTGGCTCACTGCTCTTGGTATTAACCAGGAGGGGTTATTAATCGCGCATTAATAACAATAATATCAACATAGAAATAATACATTTGTGGATCTGTCTGAATGGACTTTGCTGATCTCCAAACACTAAGCATCCCCAGCAACAGGGCTCGGAGGAGTGAGGGACTCGTGGGGTGGAGGGGGGCTGGAGAGACACTCACTGTTATAAGCCAGTGCCAGATACACGTCAGTCACCAAACCAGCCCTGGAGTTATTGCCCAGCCTCGGGCTGGGCGTAATGAGCCTGTTCCGCTCCCTACACTGAGTGCTGACGTGTTGAAACTCGAGCCAGACTCCACTCGCTTCATGTCAATAGTTTGTCTCTCAAGCGCGTTCGGCCGCCATTAAACTGGACCATCCGCACAGGAGCTGGTGTGAGCACAATCACCGGCCAACGTTCACGTGTGCAAACAGCTGGCGTGTGGTCCAGGATCTAACCTGACTTGGGGGGGGGAAGAGGGGAGGGTGAGGAGGGAGGGCGGGAGGGCTTGGGGGGAGCCAGTGACCATGGACTCCAACCTGCGGAGATTTCTAACAGGATTCCTTCATAAGGCATCCAACGGGACGTTCACCGTGTTGACCTGCGGTACGTCCTGCGAGCGAATCAATGACCCATTCCCGGTTTCCTTACTGAGGAATCCCGTGAGAAACAGAGCCTTATTAGCCCCCGGTATCAGGGGTGAGAGCAAAGCCGGGGTGAGCTCCCCCACCCGCTGAGGCCCCATCCACATACTGAGTCGCCCCCGGGGATGAAACGCACAGAGTGAAGGAGCGAGATGACAAACTGAGGATCACCATGGAAACCAAACCCTACAGAAATAGTTGCACGGACATTAACTCTTTCCATGCCGAGCTTTTCAAACAAACATCTGTTATTTGTGGGCCTGGCAGTAGCGAGGTTCAGCGAGGACCTGGGCTGCGGGAGCTCCGACCTCCCCCCCCAACGTTTCCACACAATCCCGATGCTGCAGCTGTCCAGAGAGACGTCTCAAAGCGCTTCACAGAATGTACTGTAAAGTGAATTGCTGTCCCATTTGTGGGCAAAACGCGGCAGCATTGGGTAACCTTACTGTTTCATTTATTTTTGTGGGATTATTATGCTTGGGAAGCGTTCCGCCAATCAACTAACAACCGGTTTCTTACTTGCTGGCGGGTAAACAGAGGCGTGTGGAGTTAAGGAGATTTGCCTAAGGTTGCTCCCTGCCTCGGGAATCGAACCCAGGTCTCTCGCTCGCAAGGCGAGCGCTCTAACCGCTGTGCTACTCAGTTGTTACATTTTTGCCTCTGGGTCAGGACTCATGTCAGGACTCACAGTCCCTATCCCCCAGATAAAATCAGCCACGCACTTCATGGCTGTTTTGGGGATGTTGCTGTGGCATATTAGTGGCTGCGTTTCACCTACAAAATGCATCTTTCTTTACGGTAAATCCTTTCAAGGACGTTGGGATGTCTTGCTGCGAAAGGCGTTGTGTCCAACTGTGACTATGATTTGACACTGGTCACTCACACCCAGTGCTGAGTTTGTTTTGAGATTAAACGGGAGTCTGACAACATGCGGAGTCCTGTAGCTCAGTGGTTAGAGCAATCGTCAATCGTAAGTGAGAGGACCTGTGTTCGACACCCCCCAGAAAAGCCAATCGACTAACAGCCGGGTTCCTATTTACTACGAGATAAACAGAGTCGTGTGTGTAGTAAGGAAACATGACCAACAGATTGCCGTGCCCGGGAATCAAACCCAGGTCTCTCGCTTGCGCGGCGAATGCTCTAACTCGAACTATACTGTAAGAAGTGCGGTGACCGGGGATTTCTTTGCTCTGGTCACCGAACCTGATCAAACTTGGGGGCTTCAGTGCTTAGTATCTGCCGTCACCATGTGGCCGGAGAAGAAACTGCAGAGTCACCAGATTTGCACCTGTTGCAGGTGGGTCCCTGGTCTCACACAGAGCACAGGAACAGGAGGAGGCCATTCAGCCCCTCGAGCCTGTTCCGCCATTCTATCAGATCAGAGTCGATCTGTGCCTCATATCCGTTTATGCACATATCCCTCGATATCCTGACCTGTCCTGACAGACATGGATATGGATATCTCTCCACTTCAGTCTTGAAAATGTGAATGGATCTAATATTCCCAACTTTTGGGGGGGAAGGAGAGAGTTCCAGACTTAGAGAGCGTGTGCACAGCTCCCGGGAGTTTAATACAAACAAGTAACAAAACCTGCTAATCGCAAACGCAGGTAAAAACATGAAGGCATCCTGTCCACCGAGATCCGTCATCGAAGGGGGGGAAAATAAAGTTTTTTTTTCAAAACAGAGTCTGCAAAATTGAAACGCCTCAAAAGCTTCAACAGCAATTACTGACACTTGGGGTGACTGTGTCTTGTGTAGGTGAACGCAGCAGCCAATTTACACACAGCAATGTGCCCGCAAACAACCACGGAGTGAACGACCGAGTTGTTGGCCAGGACACCTGGACAAACTAACTCCCTGCTCATTTCCAACAGCGCATGGGATCTCTAACATCCCACAACCACCTGATTCAGAAGTGAGAGCGCTACCATCTGAGCCTCCGGCTGACATCTGCTAAAAATACTGAGAGCTCCACATATATGTTTCTCTCCCTGATGCTAAGGAGGAAACGCACAGACACCCGCACTAAACTCCCACAAATCCCTTCATGGCACCTGGCACCTCCCTACCTGCGTACCCCAAACCCACTATCCGCTGTCTCCGCTCGACTGGCTCTGGCCTCCTTGCATGTCCCTCGTGCCCTCCGTTCCATCGGCCATGCTTTCAGTCACTACGCCCCAAAACTCTGGAACTCTCTCCCTCATTCCCTCCGCCCGCCTTGCCCCCCCCCCTTTCCTTTCCCATCTTCAGATCGCACCTGAAGATCGTCCCTCTTTGGCCGTGCCTACGGGCAGCTCCCCCCACCCCCCCACCACCCCAGTTTCTCATCGTGCTCCGCCACTGTCAAGCGCTCCGGGATCTACCCTGCGTGAGGGGGCGCTGTGCAAACGGTTGTTGTTGTTGTAGTCCTGGCGAGTTCCAGGCGTTGCCGACGAGAGCTTTGAGATGGAGATGTCTTGTTGGGACCTCTCGACTGTGAAACAAACAAGATGAGAAGACAGCCACCCAACTGAGCGTAGTTTGAAATGACCAGCGAGTGCTGGTTACTGCTTTTATTAAATGTATGGATTACACAGGCAGCTCGTAATTAGACCGGGAATACAATCCGAAAACGCGGAAAAACTACACACTGGTTTTCCTTGAACAGAACCTAGAATAAAAATGAAGGTTACAATGGGGTGGAATGGCAGGGCAGTGAGTGTGTGTGAGGGATACAGAGAGGGGTGGGGGGTGTGTGTGTGTGTGTGCGTGTGGAGTGGGTGGGTGGGTGGGGGGGGTTATCATTGTGTGGGTCTGGATGTCCAATCTCATGGTGTGTGACCAACTCTCGAGAGAGAGAGAGATCAGCAAAATATCAAACTGATTCTTCAACATTTACAGTCTCGGAGCCTCACCTCCCGCCCCCATTCTCCAGCATGCACACGCACACGCACACGCACGCGCTTGCACACGCATACGTGCCCGCACACACATTCACACACGCACAAATGCCCGCATACACACACGCACACATGCCCGCGCACACACTTTCGTGCGTCCACAAACACTTGCGCGCAGACACAAACATGCACACACATGCTCGCATGCACATACAAACGCACCCTAACCACCCCACCAGACACACGCACACGCACACACAGGGAGACTGTAACTCTGAGACATCATGTCCGCACTGACCACCTGTTACAGTAATGAGTCCAGTGCAGTTTCACCACAAAACCTGGAGTTTGTTAACCAGTGAGCGGGAAAGGTGCCGGGATCTGTCTCCGCAGGGTTTACCAGGGTCTGAGCTGGTGAGGACGGACATCAATTCCCGCAATTACACACACACACACACAAAATCCTGAAGTCTCAATCGCCAGCCACTCCTGAGAGCGCCCCCCGCCTCCGCAACCCCCTCTCCCTCCCCAGGGAGAACAGCAAGGCCTTTCCAATCATCGCTTATGCCCTTGCCCTGTCTAAGCAACAGACGCTCAGGGCACCATCAGCCTCGCTGGGCACCGGGAGGGGAATAAACTCTTCCGAAGTAAACCTGTCAGCCCTGGGCCCAGCATCTCAGCGAATGGAATTCACCCCGGCCCGGGAGCAAGACACGTGCCATTTATAATAAAAATAATAATAATCCTGGTATTTGATACAGCGCCTTTAATGCTAAAATGTTGAAACGTCGCCTGGCACTGCTGTCAGCTGCAGGGATGGAGCACAGCAACGTCCCACAAACCACGGGGTGAGCGACTACTTTATCCGGGGATTGTTGGTCCCAGGAGAGAGAGAGAGAGAAACTCCCTTCTCTCTTTGAATAGACTCTCGACAATACAGCTCTCCCCGCAGCCCCGCACTGGAGCATCGGCCGAGACCGTGAGCTCAAAATCCTGACTCAGAGGCGAGTTTGCTGCTGACTGAGCCAGGATGAGGTTTAATGCCCTGGGGTCAGCAGAGAGAGAGAGGGAGGGAGGGAGGGAGGGAGAGAGGGGAGAAGAAGCAAGGGTGGGGGTGCGGGGGCACTTATAAGTGTGTGTTGGAGATAATACAACCCGCGTTTTCTAACTTTAAAAAAATTAAAAACTTGGTATTAATGGAAAGAGATTAGCAGCTCAGTGGGTTTTGCCTGATGCCCACATCCCATTATCAAAACAGCCGAGAATTAGGAAAACTTCAGATTCTCAACTCAAGACACACATACACCACAGAATAGACGCAAACCAGGGGCAGAGAGAGGGGCAGAGAGGGGCAGAGAGGGGCAGAGAGAGGGGCAGAGAGGGAGAGAGAGGGGCAGAGAGGGGCAGAGAGAGAGAGGGGCAGAGAGGGGGAGAGAAGGGCAGAGAGAGGAGCAGAGAGAGTGAGAGAGAGAGGGGGGCAGAGAGGGAGAGAGGGGGGCAGAGAGAGGGGCAGAGAGGGGCAGAGAGAGGGGCAGAGAAAGGGGCAGAGAGAGTGAGAGAGTGTGTGTGAGAGGGGCAGAGAGAGGGGCAGAGACAGAGAGGGGAGAGGGGCAGAGAGAGAGAGGGGCAGAGAGAGGGGCAGAGAGAGTGTGAGAGAGAGAGGGGCAGAGAGGGAGAGAGAGGGGCAGAGAGAGTGAGAGAGAGAGGGGCAGAGAGGGAGAGAGAGGGGCAGAGAGAGGGGCAGAGAGAGTGAGAGAGAGGCAGAGAGAGGGGCAGAGAGAGTGAGAGAGTGTGTGAGAGAGGCAGAGAGAGTGAGAGAGAGGGACACAGAGAGAGATGGGGGGATAGAGAAAGAGAAAATGAATCAGGGGCAGAGAGCGAGCGAGAGAGCGAGTGAGAGAGGGGCGGAAATTTAACGGAGAGAGTGTGGCTCCTTGATGGGGTGCGATAATGGCGGGCGAGAGGGATGGGAGGAGCGTGACACAAAAGGAGAGAAAAGAGGATCTGACGGCAAAGGAAAAAAAAACACAAATTATCACAAAAAAGAACTATTATTTCATCAGTAAAAGTCCAGAGCGAGTGGAAAGGGAGGGGGGGGGGGGTGAGGGGAGGGGTGGGGGGGGGGGGGTTCTGTTGAAGGAAGCACAATATAAACAAATGCTACATCATGCTTAAAAATAATCTATATTAACCAAAACGGTAATGAGAAGTGCTATGTTGTCGCCAGTGGTAAATATACAGTCAGCTCCTGTCAGCACCTTGAGCGTCGCATGTTGTCTGGATACTGTCACTAACCCTATTGCATAAGACAATGTATGTCGTTCAGTGTAAGATGTGGCTTCAAAATGGCCTCATTCGGTCGGTCAGGCTGTGAGAGCAAGTCCTCGTACCGAGCCGGGCACCCAATCTCCCAGCCCCCTCCCTCCCTGTCCCCCCCATCACCCCCTTCCACACTCAGCCAGCACCTCGTTCCCCAATTACCACCAGGAATCCCTACCAACACCACCCGCCCCACCCCAGTTAAACTGTCCTGCAAGCTTTCCCGCTGCTTGTCCAGCTAGGACTACCCTATCTGTTCGGGCTTTGGCTGCAGGGTTAACAGGAGCTGAGGGGGAGGATTCCCCGCCCCCAGTGACTCGTTGGCGCTTTAGGTCCTGCCGATCGATGAGCCGGGCCGGGCCAGGCTGCGCTGGCATCAGCGGCGAGTGCCCTGGAATACTGCGGACCCTTCTGGCTCAGGAACCGGACTAGAGAGAGAGAAAGACCACCATAGGGAGGGCTGTCTCGATTCTGACATCCCATTGACAAACATGTCACCTTGGAGCCAGATCAGTTCCAAGATGATCTTGATTCCCCAGCACCCTCCACCCCGCGCCCCCCCCCCCCACCCCGAGGATAGCTGAGGGTGCCCGGTAGTGAGAGGGGGTGAGATTCTGGGAGCCTCCGGCAGTGTAAAACCCAATGAAGAGTAACGTTTTTTTTTGGTGCAACTAAATTCAATGAAATTCAGAAACACATCCCACAAGAACGGACTGAGCGCGGCATGGAGGCAGTGCGTGGTGGGACGGGCTTGTTCCCCCGGCGACGGCCGAATGGGACCATAACGTAACTGTGGCCAGGGTTCATTTTATTAAGACATGCTCGCGAGAAGCGAAACTCTCGTCATCTACCGTCAACATCAGCTATAAAAATAATGTAAATACCTGTACATACTGTTTTTTTTAAATCCCATTATAAGTCATCTTACAGTCTCTCTTATATCTGCACAAATCACTCCTGCGCTCTCCCCACTTCTCCGCCCCACCCCCTCCCCTTCTCCCCCCCCAACTCACCAGGGAAAGTTAATGCGTATATTTTTTCAGCTAATGAAGTAACAATAAAAAAGAGGTTAATAATAATAATAATCCTTGCATTTGATACAGCGCCTTATCACATCTTCGCGGCGTCTCAAACGCTTCACAGAAAATATACTGCAAAGTGAAGTGACTGCATTTTTGTGGGCGAAACGCGGCAGCCAATTGCGCACAGCAGCGTCCCGCAAACAGTCGGGGATTGAGTAGCCAAATTATTACTATTATTATTATTATTTTAGATCCGAGCTGGATAAGGTGACCAAGTATTAACCTGAGACAAGGTTAGAACTGGCTGATCACGTTTGTATCTAACATGACTGAAAGCAAAGAGTCCGTCAGTCCCCAGTGATGGGGTGTGTTGCAGCCTCTCTCAATACAGGCCAAACACTAGGACATGGACCACAACAGAGACTGGAACCAGATCCTGTCAGTCAGGCTTCCCCGGGGCTGGAGGGTAGAGGGGTGAGGGGTGGGTGGGGAGACCAGTCCGGTGGTTGTACAATGTCCTGATACAAATGTCACTTGCATAAAATCGTCCCAAGTACCAAAAAGGGCTCCTCAGCCCAGGAGCAGAGCACGGGTTGTGTAGGGATGTCTCAGTGTGTGGGGAATGGTGGGTGGGTGGGTGGGGGGTGGTGGGGGGGAGGGGGCTACATTAGAGTTTCTTGAATCTCTGCCAGACAGTTCGCCCCCATTTCCAAACCGTGTAACATGGGCTTCTGGTCGAAGGCGGTGACCCTGCTGATCATCTCGGGAGACAAGGAGAAGCGGTTGCCGGACTTCTCCTCGAACCAGCAGTCCAGGGCTCTCTTGGCCTCAAAGTTGGCGATGGATGGTCCGTTCACGGCAATGCTCAGCAGGTCGTTGAGTTGCTCCAGGCTGAGCCGGGACCGGTTGTTGCTGCGGATGCGGCAGAAGGCACTGCGGCCCCTCTCGCACGCGGCGGTGGAGGTGGGCAACACCAGCAGCAGCTGGACCAGCCTACTGAGGACGGGAAACCTCTGCTTATACTTGAACACGTGACGGCTCAGCTCCTTGAAGCCGTTCTTGTTGTAACACTCTGCCTTGACTTCCTTCCACTCCTGCAGCAGGCTCCCCCGCGCCCCGTCCCTGCCCTCGGCCCCCCGGCCCCCCAGCTCAATGGCCAGCGATGGCATGATCTCAAAGTGCTTGTAGATGTGCAGGATCTCCTCCTCGCAATGGCTCCTCAGCCTCTCCTCGTTCTGTGGCCAACTGGCCACGTCAAAGACCTGACTGGCCCGGATGACGGAGCGACTGTTGGAGTCCAGCCTCTGGGCCAGGATCAGCTGGGTTCTCTGGCAGATCTTCTCTCGGATGGAATTGAACTTGGCCTCGGCCACCCTCAGGTTCTTCAGCGGCACGCCATGGAAGTTCTCCTGGAAGGTCTCCTCGAACTCCTGCAGGTACTCGCCGGGGGCCTCGGCCAGCCGGCTGATCTCCTCGATGGCCTCCTCCACCTTGTCGTCGGCGTGGGCCACGAGGAGTGCCTCCCCTTGGAAGGCGAAGGCCAGGCGGGCCAGCACCGCGATCACATCCAGCAGGAAGTAGATGAGCTTGACCGATTGGTAGTCCATCAGGAAGTGGAGCAAGGCCAAGGCCACGGCGGCCGCCTCCGCCTTCTGGGGTTGCCCGCTCACCTCCTTCAGGTGGGCCACCACCTCCAGATAGTCCTTGATCAGGGCGTTGAGGACGTTCTGCTCCCCGATGACCCAGCGCACGGCGCGGATGTCTCCCAGGAACTCGGTCTCCTCACACAGAGTGGCTGCCGTCACCCGCAGCTCGCACATCAGTTTGGGCGAGTAGCGGTAGAAGCTCAGCAGCTGCTTCAGGTTGTTCTCCAGATCCTCCAGGCAGCTCAGCTCCTTGTTGCTGATGGCGTCCAACACCTCGAGGTGTGGCCTGTGCAGGACGCAGGGCACACACAGCAGCCAGGGGAGGGTCTTCCTGATCTTGACGGCCAACCCCGCCCGCAGGCCCGTGGTCACGTTGGCCCCGTTCACCCCCAGTCCCACCATCACCTTCTCCTCTTTCCACTTGATGCCGATGCCCCCGAACGCCCTGTCCAGAGCCTGGACGTAACCGTCCACGGTGACGGAGCTGAGCTCCTGCAGCGACAGGAACTCTGTGTGGGCGGGGCCCTCGCCGGTCACGTACTGCACGTACACGGCCACATTGTCGGCCAGCAGCTCGTCCGTCCGCCCGTCCATTATCACGCTCAGGAACGGCGAGAGCCGGAGACGCTCGAACAGGTCCTCCCGCAGGGAGCGGCCAATGTGATGCACCAGAGTCTGACAGTCTCCCTCGTTCAGGTACTGGTCCACGATCTTCAGGTCGCACTTTTTCAGCAGCTCCGCCAGCGGCCGGAAATCGGCCAAGGGTCTCCCCTCGGAGGCCAGGTGGTAGGCCACGTGGAACAGCAAAGTCATGTTCCTGCACATCTCCTCGGTCTTCTCTGGGTGCATCCTCAGCTTGTACAGCTGCAGGCACTTCTTGTGGAGGTTGCTCTGGGCGTGGAGTTTGATGGTGTGGATTTTGAACTGCTTGGAGCCCAGGATGAAGGCCGAGGTCCTGGAGGACTGGACAGTGTACTGCCGGCACACGTGACACCACATCTCGTTCAGAGTGGGCGAGTACCGCAGGAACCAGAACTTCTTCAGCCACTCGTGCTTGAAGCGGCGGATCCTGCGCCCCCCGGCCCCCCCGGCCCCTGCCGCCTTCAGCGTCTCGTCCGTGCTAGCCAGCAACTCGTTGGTCAGGGACTCGTCGGCAGAATCCATCTCCTGCTCACTCGTGTCGTCCATGACGGTGGGGACAGGCGTCTGGGGGTCTGGTGCTGGAAATGGTTGAGAGGGGGGTGGGGGTTGGGGGAAGAGATGGGAGAGGGAAAGAGACAATCAATCGATCAATAAATCAATAATAAATCAATAAGTAGACAAACAATCCATACGTGAAAAGGTCTCAAAGCACTTCACGGTAATGACAACCACAACATACGTTTGTGTAGCACCTTTCACGTGAGGAGGACGTCCCAAGGCGCTGACAATTACTGTCAAGAGGACGTCCCATTGCCCCAATTACTGTCAAGCCTTTTGCGAGCAAATGTCACTGCCCATTCCTGCACTCAGTGAACTCCCCGCTGGCACACACAGCCATGAGGTGAACGACTAGTGTTTATGTGAAGCGTTGTGGCCAGGACACCGACTGGGAGAAACTCCTTTTCATTCACATCCACATAATAATAAATAATAATAATAATAATAATAATAATCGTTGCATTTGATACAGCGCCTCATCAAGTCTTCAAGACATTTCAAGCACTTCACGGAATATACTGTAAAGTGAATTAATTGTATAGTTTGTGGGCGAAACGTGGCAGCCAATTGTGCACAAACAGTCACGGCTTAAGTGACCAAATTATCTTTTTTTTTAAGGGTTTATTGAGCCGGACAGAAGTTTCGCACAGCTCTAGAGTTTGGCAACTGGTTGAATTTGGTAAGGACTCTCGAGTTACTTTTCTGATAAGTCCTGAGAGGAATTGTACAGGAATAATAAACAACGTATGTAAGACTTGCCAGATTCTAGCCACACACACATTACAATGGTACATAGTGTGTTAAACAGAGTCAATCCAGACCCGAGACAAACTCTCCCCGGGGATTTTTAACGTCTTCTAGAACAGACCAGACATGAAGGTTTGCTCAGTTTTCGAGTCTGTATCCACATACCAAAAAATACACCCTCCCACGCAGACCCTCGACACATCTACACACTACAAACCACTTCGAGGCGACGTTCAATAATAATAATCCCTGCATTTGACATAACGCCTTATCAGGTCATTGAGACGTCTCAAAGCGCTTCACAGGATATACTGCAAAGTGGAGTGACTATACATACAATCACAGACCGGAGGAATTGAGGATATTTTCTGGTGACACAGTAACTTTCCAGTGAGCTCCCCAGTCACACACACAGAGCCCGGGAGTCACCCACACTGTGAGCCTGCGCTACATTAACACTGCGTACAACGTTCCCTCGCTCCCCTTACACAAGCAAACTATTTCTTGCTCAGTCGCTTGGTTTTACAGCAAAAATAAACACCATTGCAACATTAATACATTTAGTGGTCGGTTTTCTCAACCCCGAGTACATTTTGGACACACATCTACACAGGCTCCATCCCCTCTCACGCATGCACGCACGCAGACACAAGCACACGCACACACACCCTGCACACAGTCAATAACTCATACGGCAAGTTCAACGCTTGTTGGGTGCCTGATGGCTTCCCTCAAGAGGTTAGAGCAAAGACTGTAGATGTTTCTCCATCAGCTCACCACCCAATGTTGCTCTCACACCTCACAGGGCTGACAGCTCGCGTGTGGGAATTAGCGTTTACCAGTGACTTAGTGCCAGCTGTGCACCAGTTGGTATTTGAAGAGTACGTCAAGTGTCTGACCCGCTCAACTGGTTACACCTTCATTAACTTGAGTGTAAAATGCAGGTTATTATCAAAGGGGGGGGGGGGGGAAGGAGTTCTGAACAAACCAGAAGCTGAAACCTACTACAAGAAGTCACTGAACCAAGTTAAACACCAACTCAACCGGACTCAACGATTGGCAACTTGAAACATAAAGCTTCTGATAACTCGACCCGGGCTTAACTAGTCACTCGCTACCACTGAAGTCATCGCGCGGTCAAATCCCGTCCGCATTTAGTTATGTATTTATGCACACGCCTACCTCGCCTGCACTCCTGATAACTCGTCACTGCTCAGGCCTTTTCCCTCGGAGGGACGAGTTATCAGGAGGTTACTGCGTAGATCAAGAAAAACTCTCCGAAACTCTTTGCATAATTAACGTGGGAACGGAACCGAGCCACAAACCAACAAAAGAAAGTGCAGACAAGCAGCCGTTGTGAACAGAAGATCTTTTATTGGCAAGCGGACAAGAGAGTCAGGACCACAAGGAAATGACAGAAGAGAGCACAGAGCGAGAGTGAGAGCGAGAGAGCGAACACAGGAAACCGTTTACAAGTTGATCAAAGCCATTGCATTCCTGGCTCCTTCCCTCCGCATCCTTCCGTAACTCCGTACAAGTCACCTCAGTGGCTCAGTCACACGCACACGCGGAACAGCTACATCACCCACAATGATGCGGTTTGTCCACAGGTCAGTGAAACAAACCGGTTGCTATATTCCTCGAACCAAACCAAACTCCCCGGTCGGTGGTGTGTTCCTTTTTTTCAGATGTCAAGAGAACACGGAAGACGGCGAGGGAGGGAGTGGGGGGGTGGGTGGGGGGGTGAAGGTTCCTTTTGCCCATTTCACCTCGTCCTTTCCGGGGTCTCAAGAGGGAGAACGCTTCTCAGGCCCAATCTGAGAAAAAAAACTAAAAAATTTGATACAGTGCCCGACAGAGAGAGAGAGAGAGAGAGAGAGTGCGAAGGTCTCAGTTAGCATTGGGGAGACAAACACTTTCCCACCCGGCACACAGAGCACAGTGTAACTACACACTGGTCTGGCTTCCCACAGTGAGAGAACAGAGACAGGGGGCACGGACGTCTCGTGTGGCCTTCCTCAGGGCTCTGTCCTTGGTCCCCTCTTTTTCAACATCTATTTGCTCCCTCTTGGTGACGTCATCCACAGACATGGGGTCAACATCCACATGTATGCGGATGACACCCAACTCTACCTCTCCGCCTCCACCCTCGACTCCAGGACCCACATTCTGTCAGACATCAAGTCCTGGATGAGAGCTAACCTTCTGCAGTCGAACGTCAACAAGACCGAGGCTCTGATTGACTCCCGTCAGCGCCTTAGGACGTCCTCCCGACGTGAAAGGCACTTTACAAATGTAATTTTGTTGTTGTTGTTGTCAGCGCCTCCGCACCTCAGTCACTGAAAGCATCACCATCACCATCCAAGGAGGCACACTCCACCTTACTAAGGCCATTCCGGGACCTTGGCATTTTGTTTGATCCCCCTATTTACCCTTTCTACCCCACAGCCCTGCCATGACCCGCTCTGCCTTCCCCCATCTCCACAACATCGCCCGGCTCCGCCAGTGTCTCACACCGCAGGCTGCCGAGACCCTCATACACGTATTCATAACATCCAGACTCGAGTACGCAAGCACTTTGTTTGTCAGCCTCCCCAACTCTTCTCTACATAGGTTGCAGATCATCCAGAACTCTGCAGCCCACGACCCCCCCATCCTTGCCCGACTCCACTGGCTCCCAATCACACAGAGGATACAGTTCAAGATCCTGGTCTCACCTTCAAAGTCCTCCGTGGCCTTACTCCCCCCTTACCTCTGCACCTTCCTAACCCCCTATGAACCTGCCTGCTCCCATCGACTAACAACCGGGTTCCTACTTACTGCTGGGTAAACAGAGGCGTGTGGAGTAAGGAAACTTGCCTAAGGTTTTGCCCTGCCTGGGAGTAGAACTCAGGTCCTCTCGCTTGCGGGGCGAGTGCTCTAACCACTACGCTACAGGACTCCATGAATAATATCAAAACCCAACCAAATTTTTGCAGTAATCCTGCAAATTGGGAGGGTGTGGAGAGAGCAGAGTCACACATAGACACAGCCCGCCCGCACGCACACATACACACACAAATACACAGAGAGACGCACACACACACATCTGGCTCCAAGTCTCGAGGCATCTCCTCCCATTTTCAGAAAACGCATCTGAAATGAGACATTGAGCAAAGTTTAGACGCCGACAACAACTGTACATTTTATACAGCGCTTTCGTGTCGGGAGGACGTCTCAAAGCGCTTTTTTTCCCAGAGCACATCTCGCAGGGAGTCCTCCCACTCAGCTTGTGTTAACCTTGCAAGCCAAAGCCCTAACAGGTCGGTGGTCCTAGCTGGACAAGCGGGAAGGCTTGCCAGACAGCGATATCAATGGCAAGCTATGTGGTTTTAGGTGGTTAAGACTCCAGCAGTTACTCCAACGCACACTCTGGGGTCCCCAAGCCTTGACTCTTGCCAACCTGCGCCTAATACTTTACATAAACAGGATGCTCCCCTCCAGGAGAGAGAGTACACATTCTATCCAAAAAACATCTCTTGAATTTCCTTGTGTAAGTGCGATGCATGGAATTCTGTTTGGATTGGATATTCTTAAGCCTAGTGATGGGTTTCCACATGTGTTGGACACCCGGCTGAACCCCCAGGAAAAAAGAGCAGCAGGAGGCCATTCAGTCCATCCAGCTTGTTCCTCCTAGTTAACCTCCCTGCAGGTCCTTCAATCGCAGTGGCCAGCCCTTTCACAAGTCTTATATTTAAGTCCTGGCTAATCTGCAGACTAGTTCCGTCCACCTTACTGAATCCTTTCATCAACTCGGAAAAGCCTCTCTCAGGCCACCTCAACAACAACAACAACGTGGCAAACTTAATCAGAGCAAGCCTTCCATTTGATAAAGCGCCTTATCACGTCTTTGAGACGTCTCAAACCGCTTCACAGGATTTATTAATGTGAATTGACTGTATATTTTGTGGGCGAAACACAGCAGCCAATTGCCTTTATAGCGCCCCTCATGCAGAATAACGCCCCGGAGCACTTAAACTCCGGAGCGAGAAAGAGAGAGAGAGACACACACACACACAAAAGCTCTAATCTGCCCAATCTAAAACCTCTACAACTCCGAACCGTTTAATGGACGTGCGAGGATTTAAGAAACGCTTACCTCGTCCTTCCGTTCTCCATCTCCACCTTCTCACAGGCCGTGCCGTGCTTCCCCAGTCTCGCCAGGGAACAAAAAAGACGGCAAAGTAACAAATAAAAAGAAAGAAATATAAAAATAGTCTGAGATTTCTTCTCC